GAGAGAGAGAGAGAGAGAGAGAGAGAGAGAGAGAGAGAGAGAGCCATTCTTTTTGGTGCGGGCGGTTGTGTGTGCTTGGTCTCAATTGTTTTCCTTCAGGTTCTACTGCTCCGGAGGAAAGGCCGCCAGCGCGTCCTCCAGATTGGCCACAATGGTCTTGTAGAGGTTCAGTTGGCCGGTGAGGAATGTATGCATCACCCGGTTGTAGTCGATGATTCGCTCCTCCTCGAAGTGGTTCATCTCCGCCAGCGTGGCGTAGGTGACCACGTCGGCGCGGTGGTTGATGCCCGCCATCGCCTTCTCCTCCAGCCGCCCCTCCGCAAAGGCCTTCTGGTGCTCCTTCTTCTTCGCAATCGCCCCCCGGTAGACGGCGCTGATCTCCGGCCAGGCGTCCAGCACGCCGCGGTACTCGTGCATCAGGTTGGCCAGCGGGCCAAAGTCGTGCCAGTGCTGCTCGTCAAACAGCTTCCCCACGGCCTCGTACTGGGCGCTGGTGCGCTTGATGGCCGCCACCAGCGACTGATTGGCCTGGGAGCGCACCGGCGAGCTGAGGAAGGCCTCGCTGAGGCCGTTGAAGATGCCCGCTACCTTGCCGAACTCGCGCTTGTAGAAGGACTGGTAGCGCTTGGCGAACTCCTGCGACACCGCGTAGATGTTCTTGGTGGAGTCGTCCATCTTGGTGATGAAGCGCGCGAAGGTCTCCAGGCGGTTCTCAGTGTCCGGGCTGATGGTGGCGCCCTCGGGCACCTGCACCGAGAGGAAGAAGAAGCCGGAGACCTAGGAGAGAAAAAAAAGGTTTTAGAACTCCAGCTTAATTTTTATATCTCCTCTTTCACCACTTACCAGCTCGTCCTTCTCCGCCCGGCGCTTGCCCGTCTTCCACTGCTTCTCGTCCTTGCAGGTGATGAAGTGCTTCCACACCGTCGACTGACTGAGCACCGGGTGGCGGCAGATCCGATTGACCCAGGACTGCAGCTGAATCCGCCGCCCCTGGATGAAGTCCTCCTGGTAGCGGCCGCTAATTTGCTTGTCCGGCAGCGACGGTATCGGAATGGTGGTGAACTTCTCCTGGAGCCGTTCGTGCAGCCAGTCAAAGTGCTTGTAGCGGCGGCTGACCGGCTCGCGCGAGTCACTGGGCGTCAGCTGGTAGGCAATGTAGCTCTTCAGGCCCTTCATCTTGCTCTCCTTCTTCGGGTTCTCCACCACCACCTCGTAGGTGAAGTAGGAGGGCGACCACTTGAAGACGCCCCCCTCGTCGATGATGTGAATGAGGTCATTTTGGTTCACCTGCACCGTCTTCAGGCCGAGGATGTAGTCCTCGCCGCCCGACTTGACGAAGTGCGAGAACCTGTTGATGCTCTTCTTCACCGGCTGAGGACCTCCTTGTCCTTGTCCTTGTCCACCGGTGCCCTTGTTGCCGTTGTTCACTCCCTGCGAGCCGCCGACGTGAATGGGCGCCAGCTGGCCGTGGGGCGTCATCGAGGAGGAGAGCTCGCCGCCGACGGTGAACTCCGACGCCTGGCTGTCGTCATCGTCCCAGTCATCGTCGCCCCAGTCGCCGTCGTTTTGCTGATCAAAGGCGGCCTGCTGCTGAACGGCTGGAGCAGCGGCAGCAGCATTTGAAGAGGTAACAAAAGAGAGCAGTCCGGCGGCGTTCGGTGGTGAACTAGTGGCTGTGGTTTGCTGTTGCTGAGGTGCTGGATGAGCATCCCAGGATAAAGATGAAGAAGGGGGCGGTGGCGGCTGCGGAGGCTGCGGTGCATCGTTGGCCGCTGAGACGTACTCCGCCGGAAAGAGGCCCTTCTCGCCGCGGCTGTTGACGCCCTCCCACCAGCCGTCGCCGACGTCCTGGCGGGTGACTGAGAAATTTCGAAATTCGAAATTGTGACAATTAGAACAACAACAAAGCAAAGACACCCACCTGTCAACGTTTCATTGGGCTTGATCGACAGCTCGCCGCTGTTGGGCTGCGCCGAGAACTCGTAGAGGACGAGCACCTTCATGACCAGCAGCAGTGGTAGAATATCAACAACAGCACACTTCAGGAATCTTCAAGACAGGGATAAAGTGCTCTTTAGTAGATCTTGCTTGAAGTACCAAACACGCTGAAGCTTCAAGTGGCGTTGGTGGCGGTGGGGTGATGAAGAGGACAGAGACCAACAAGAACTCCTGAAGTGGACACAGAGTTGAGTGAGTGCTGGGAGTTCGAAATGAGGGAATGGGAATGACAAAGAAGAAGGGTGGTGATGCAGTTAACGGTAGAAGTGCAAGAGGCAGACAGAGAGAGAACGGCGGTAGTGCACACACTCATACAAACACAGCTCTTCTCTTCTCTTCTCAGCACTGGTGTTGCGCTGCGGCCACCGCCACCACTATACCATTACCATCACCACTTTATAATATCGTCAATCGAGTCGCCGACGACGTCTCTTCTCTTTGAAGCAACAACCGACGTAGTGCCACCACCACCACCAGTCCTACTGTCAACATAGAACGCTGCTGTGACGCTGCTGCTGCTGCGGCTGGGGCGTTTGGCAGAGAGACTGCCGACCAGTTGCAGGCTACTCGCTGGCTCACTCACTCGCTCACTCACTCACTCTGGCCAGGCCAGTCACAGTCACTGCACTCGAAATAGCAGCGCTGAGCTCACTGCGGCGACAGCGGTGGTGGCACTGTCCTGAGAATTACCAGTCAATGCAATTGAATGTCGTCGCAGGTGTCCCCTACCACTGAGGTTCATCAGGATGCCAGCCAATCAGATCGAGAATCAGAGGAGGATGACTCATCAGTTAGATTGATGAAAACGGTGTCAAGGCTGGGAATGACCTTTCTCGCTTGGAACAGTTCTAAAAAGTGCGCCTCAGGAGTTGGAGCAAAAGTAACTGACTGGCTGACTAATCGGCAGATTGTGATGGACTAGACTTTAGAGATAACGAGCTTAATGACGCTTTTATTTTTACTGTACTGCCGCCAAATACAAAAGCTGGAATCAACGACAATAAACAGCAGAGGGGATAGAAGCGTCGCTAGCACTCGCTCTCTTTTTGAAAGGTAGATTTTGAACAGATGTTGTTATTGTGGTTGTTGTTTATTGTTTTCAACTCGGAAATTCTGACGATGGTAAAGAGACCTTGCCATACAGCAGCAGATGTTGTACAACACTGCGCTCGCGCGCTCGTACCGCTTACTTCAGCTTCTTCTTGGGGCGGATGTTGTTGGAGTGGCCACACTTGCGCTTGCGGCAGTTGGTCGCCTTCGGGTGCAGACGGGCGTAGCACCTGAAAAAGGAAAACGGTCAACGTTAGTTTCTAAAACAAACAGCTTTTTGGGACACTCACTTTCGGCAGATCATCTTGTCGCAGTTGTACTTCTGCGCGAGAATGCGTAGACTGGGCTCGATGACACCGCCTCGCAGACGGAGCACCAGATGAAGGGTCGACTCTGGGTAGAGGAGAGAGAATAAGCCAAATTAGTTTCAAACCATAGCAATCCTTCCCAGAAAAAGAATTCCTTACCCTTCTGGATGTTGTAGTCGCTCAGCGTTCGGCCGTCCTCGAGCTGCTTGCCGGCGAAGATCAGTCGCTGCTGGTCAGGCGGGATGCCCTCCTTGTCCTGGATCTTGGCCTTCACATTCTCGATGGTGTCGCTGGGCTCCACCTCGAGGGTGATGGTCTTGCCCGTGAGGGTCTTCACGAAGATCTGCATCTTGGATCGTGAGGCTGGAAACCGATGCAAGAGATGTGTTGTGTGTTTGGAAAAGATCGAGTCAGCGAGCGGAAGAGAACGATGAAGCGCGTGTAAGCGGCGAGATCTACCCTAAAGGCGCGTACTATTGCCACTCTCCCGCCGAGTACGTCTTCTCTGAAGAGCGGGGCAGTCGGCGAAGCGCGCACGGCGCAGGTGAAGGGAATTTTTGAAAACAGACAAAATCTTGTCAATTTTCGGTTGTTTTTATTGTTTTTTTTCACACGCTTCGAAGACACCTTCACTTCAGGCCACCTCCTGCCCTGTACGACCATGGCGGACAGCCACTCCCTTCTGGTCACCATTCGCCAGGGGCTGAAGGAGATCCTGGCGGCGAGCAACGCCCGGGGCCTGCGCCAGAGCAGCAAGTGGGCCGCGGAGATGCTGCACTCGCTGAAGAGCCAAACCGAGGTACGCTCCAAGTGTCTGCAGGTGCACGCCCACGAGTCCACATTTGAGGTGGTAGTCGACGGTGGTGGACATCAGACGAGAAAGACGCCTCGAGGAGCCTCCTCGATGAATCCACCACCACCACCACCACTTTCCTCCTCCTCCTCCCTCGACTACCTCTCCGACTGTGATTACCTGATGGCGAAGGCGGTCTTCGACCTGGGCGAGTACGAGCGGGCGGCCTTCTTCACCGCCGACTACCAGACGCCGGAGGCCCGTTTCCTCCACTTCTACTCGCGGTACCTCGCCATCGAGAAGGAGCGCATCGACCGCATGGTGGAGCCCGCCTCCGTCATCGTCTCCTCCTCCCTCAAGGTCTTCATCGAGCTGCGGAAGAGCCTCGAGGCGAAGCTGGCCGCCGACAAGGAGCAAGGCAGTACATCAACAGGGCTCTCACCCGGGGACCAGGGCGCCTCCGGCGACGCCTACATGCACTACCTGCACGGCATCATCCTGCTGAAGCTGGGGCTGAACCGCGAGGCCATCGACGCCCTCCTCCGCAGCATCACCCTCGAGCCGCTGTGCTGGGCGAGCTGGCACCAGCTGTCGCAGGTGATCGAGGACGAGGCGGCTTTCAACGAGATGCTCCTCCCCGCCCACTGGCTCAAGGGCTTCTTCGTGGCGGCAGTGGGCGTGGAGCTGCAGTCAAGTGACGACGCCCTCCTCCTCCTGACGGACCTCCTGCTCACCTTCCCCGCGGCGGGCTACCTCCTCAGCCAGCTCGCCATCGTCCGTTACAACCTCCGCGAGGTGGACGAGGCGATTGCCCTCTTCACCGCCATCCGCACTGCCGACCCCTTCCGCCTGGACGCCATGGACATCTACAGCAACCTGCTCTACGTGAAGGAGATGCAGACGGAGCTCAGTACGCTGGCCCATCTCGCCAACAAGATCGACCCCTACCGCGTGGAGACCTGCTTCTGCGTGGCCAACTTCTACTCGCTGCGCGGCCAGCACGCCAAGTCGGTGGTCTACTTCAGCCGCGCCCTGCAACTGAACCCCCGCCACCTCTCCAGCTGGACGCTGATGGGCCACGAGTACGTGGAGCTGAAGAACACCAACGCCGCCATTCAGGCGTACCGCTCGGCGATCAAGTGCAACAAGCGCGACTACCGCGCCTGGTACGGCCTCGGCCAGACCTATGAGATCCTCAAGATGCCCGCCTACTGCCTCTACTACTACTCGGCGGCGCACTTCCTCAAGCCAAACGACACCCGCCTCATCACCGCCATCGGGCAGACGTATGAGAAGCTAGGGCGGCACGAGGACGCCGCCAACTGCTACGCCAAGGCGGGCTTCGGCTCGCTGATCAGGCTGGCCGCCCTCTACGAGCACAAGACCGGGGAGGAGCACAAGGCGGCGGCCGCCTACAACGAGTACGTGAACGGCTTCGAGGCGAAGCAGGCGGTGTACAACCTGCCGCCGGCGGACCTGACGACGGCGTACAAGTACCTGGCGCAGTACTTCTACCGCCACGGCAAGTTCCAGCAGTCGCAGGTGGCCGCCCAGATGTGCATGTACTTCGCGGAGACGCGGGACGAGGCGAAGGAGCTTCTGAACAAGCTCCAGAACGTTCTTCAGGTCATGGACGAGGATAATCAACAAGAGGGGCAGGAAGGCGAGAAGGTGACCTCGACGGCGGTGGCCGCCCTGGCGACGGCCGTCCTGCAGGAGGAGGATGAGGAGGAGGAGGAGGAGGACGTTGAGATGGACACCTAGGGGACCGTCTCTTTTAACTTGTTGCCTGCTTTTACTGCTTCTTTTAACTGTACATATTCGTAGATGATGTGTTCGCATTTGATGCTGATGATAAACTACTGATGATCTTTTTCTTCTTCCACCACTACCACCTCTTCTTCCCACCTGTTCTTCTTCTCAACTCTAGGCGGTGGCTTCTCCACCACCTCCACCGGAAGTTTGTCGCCCCAGCGCAGCGCCCGCCCGCTCTGGTACAGCGCCTGCTGGTGCTTCGCCTTGGAGAGAATCACCTCGGCCAGTTGGCCGTCGGCGGTGCACACCCGACAGATGGAGTGGCGTGCCCGCCTCACCACCGGCTGCACCACCCGGGGCCAGCTCTTCTGGGCCTCGCTCCAGCGGTGCTGCTCCTGAGGTTGCTGATTGCTGCCCGCATTTTCAAAGTGATGCCTCTTGAGGATGACGTAGGCGAACTTTTCCGTCCTGAAGTTTGGATTCTATTGAAACAAAGTTGAAAGATTAGGGGAGGGGGTCAAAGGGTTGAGAGGAATACACAAAACATTCTCACCTCCTGGCCCACATCAAAGACCTTGTAGGTGGCGCTGAAGTTGCAGAAGGACTTGGCGAGCAGCTCGGACACTCGTGGGCAGATGAGGTCGTGGGGGCAGGGCGCCACGACGGAGCCCTCGGTGCGGGCGAGGCCTTGCGAGAGTTCACCGCCATCAGTAGATTCATCATCTTCTGTTGAATTTCTCCTTCTCCTCTTCCGCTGCTCCTCCTTGAGCAGCCTCTCCCGCTCCAGCGGATCGAGCTGTCGGCGGCTGACCTGGAGGACAAAGTTGCGCGCCTCCATGACGGCGGCAAAGCCCGCCTTGCTGCCGTGCTCGACAATGACCAGGGCGCCGCTGGTCTTCTTCCACAGGTTCTCCACCACGTAGAGGCGGCTGCGCGTGTCGGGCAGCTCGAGGAGGGAGAAGGCGGAGACGACCAGGTCGTAGGTGGGCTGCAAAGGAGGAGGAAAAGAGGAGGATTTAGAAAAACGGGAGAAATCGAACTTCAAACCAAAACAAATCAGATTACTTACGTAGTGCTTGACGGGCAGAAACTGCCGGTAGAAGACCTTATCGAGGACGGCCTCGTCGTGGGCGGTGCCCCGCTGCAGCAGCTCCCGCGAGAGCTCGTTCATGCGCTCATTGAGGTCGATGGCCATCACCTCGGCCAGCTGGCCCGGCCACAGCTGGTCGGCGGCCCAGAGGGCGGTGCCGGGGCCGGAGCCAAAGTCGAAGAGCGTCCGCGGGTTGAAGGCGGGCTCCTCGGCTTGCAGCTCCTGGAGGACGGTGCTGAGGGCGGCGTAGTTGGCCGGCAGACGGGCGGCCAGGTAGGCGGCGCACTCGTAGGCGCTGTAGGGCTCGCGGATGAAGAACTGCCGGCGAAGGTGGTCGGCGGCCGCCGCCTCGGCCTCCTTCTTACGGTCGCTCTTGAGGCGGCTGGCGCTGCTGCTGCTGCCGCTGTTTTGCTGATCGTCGAAGCCGACTTTTCGAAACTTGGAACTTCGAAATGGTTGAGAAGTGGAGGAGGTGTCGCTGGTTTCCGAAGTCGCCGCCGTCTCCGGTCCTTGGGCGACGAGGATGTCGAGGAACTCGCGGCGGACGCGCTCCACGTCGGCGCGGAACCGTTTTCCGCGGTACTCTGCAAAAAGAAGTTGGTCAAATATGATCGGGTAAATATCTCTCTCTTTCCACTTACTATTGAGAATGTTCGTCGCCGCCAGCTGCAGCTTGATGGGCAGTTCGTCAGTGCGAACGGCACGTCGGCGGGCGCCAGGGTGGCGCCGAGGCTTCAGCTGCCCATCAGTCGCCTCCAGCACCTCCTCAGGAAGGTCCTTTTTCAACGCAAAGGTGAACTTGTTCTTGATCAACGAAGAGAGCGTCCGGCTGTGCTGGTATAAAGGTTCTGAGGCTCCTTTTTCAACATCGAAAAAGTGTCCTCTGGTACTTCGAACTAGCAGCAGCAATGGCGTGGTGCTCCAGGTGGCCTTCGAAGCGAACATCCTATTCTTCAGCTGATGATCATCAAGGAACAACAGTTTGTCCTGTTCCAGCAACAGCAGCAGCTTCAAAAGCGAAACAAAAACAAACACACGTGCCCGCACCGTAAACGACTGCCGCTGCTCACCACATCTGCGAACGGCAGCTGTCAGTGCGAAAAAATCCCTATTTTTTCCCTGCCATTTCGAAACACAACATCAGAAACTGTACTGGGCGCCGTTAGCAACAGGCTTATCGCCTCACTGATAATGAGGATGGCCTCAAGTAGACCATCAAGTACTCCGTTCATCCATCCAAGACCACCTGTCATCATCCGCAGCAGCAGCTAACATGGCGCAGCAGATCACCTTCAGCAGCAGCAGCAGCAGCAGTGTCGCATCAAACGACGGCTACTGCTGGCGCCCGCAGATGCTCGTTTAGAGCTGTCGCTGTCTTGGAGCGCGCCATGCGCAGTGTGCAACTCCTTTCAGATTTGTGCTGAGTTGTGGTCTTGTCGTCTCCGAGGCTTTCTGTCTGTCTGACGCTGCTGCTGCTGCTGCTGCTGGAGCAGAAGTGAAGAGAGAGAGAGTACCTGATCAGTCTGTTTCTGTTTCTGTCTGTGTTTTCCCCGATGATCTCCCCTTCTTCTTCCTCCTCTTCTTGAATCCGTTCTACTTCATCCTCTTCTTCAACGGAGACGGCCAAAGCAGTTCGTGGTGTGGTGTGAGAGCGTGCGAGTGAGTGGAGTGAATGATTACCGGTGGTGGTGCTGGCGGTGTTGGCTGCGGTAATAGTGGTCGGTAAGTGGTCATCTCAGCTCTCAGCTCTCTCACCTCACCTCACCTCACCTCATCCGCAGATGAGGGCAAATGAGTAGAGGGACGAAAACGAAAACAAAACAGAACAAGCAGCAACAAACTCACAGTGCAAAGAAGTCTTCAACTGCAACACAGCACAGCACAGCACAACAGCCAACCAGTGATATTAAAATTATCGTTTCCAGCGAAGAGAAGAGGGACCATCAAGTAGAGGAAGAGGTGGATTGTGGATTTTTGAGGATTGGTAGTGACCATCATCGGGAACTATCATCATCATGGAACAGTTCGAGGGCCTGAAGATTTTCACCCTCAACTGCTGGTAAGTGATTTCTGTGCTATTCCAGTTTTATTTTTCAACCTTTTTCTCTCTTCTTCTCTCAGGGGCCTGAGGTACTTCTCCAAACATCGTAAATTAAGGATCAAATTGATAGCTCAACACTTATCTGAAAACGACTATGATATTGTCTTTCTCCAAGAAGTAAGTGCACTGAACATTCTGGAGGCACTGAATTTTACCATTCCCTAACAATTCCTCCTCCTCCTCCTCCTATCCTTCTGCAGGTCTGGATTCAGTCCGACTTTGAGTACATTCGATCAAAAACACTACACCGATATACATTTGCTCACATGTTCAACAACGCCAGCATCCTGGGTACAAGTGGTACGTGAATCGGTTGTTGTTAAGCATTTCGAAATGAACATCATCATCCTTTGTTTACCTTTCCAACCCGACAATTTCACCATTTTAGGCCTCGTTATCATGGCAAAGTGGAACCCCAAGATGATCCACTTTCACCCGTACAGCATCAATGGGACGCCCTTTCGGCCGCATCACGGCGACTGGTTCTCCACCAAAGGTACGTGCTCCAAGTTCCAAAGACCACTTTCCACTGTGTTTCAAGTGCTCCATAACATCAACTACAACACACTGCTCTTGATATTGTTCTCCAGGCGTCGCCTACGTGCGCATCGAAGTGAAGGGCTTCAATCTGCACCTCTTCTGCACTCACGTAAGTCTGCCATTTGCAGATTGGTTGATAAGCCTTAATCACACCAGCTCCTCTTACCCAACACATTATCAGATGCACGCCCAGTACGACGAGGAGGAGGACATCACTGACCAGTACTCCATTCACCGCATCTGTCAGTCGTACGAGCTGGCGAAGTACATCAACCTGATGGCCTGCAACTGCTCCAATCCTTCCTCGAGGGACCTGATTGTCCTCGCCGGCGACATGAACACCTCCTCCAAGGAGCTGCCTTACCGACTTCTCGGTGAGAGAGATTCGAGGAACCACCGCTTTTTCTTTCATTATGACCAAAAACCTTTTTCTTTATTTACAGTCGAGCTGACCGGCCTCAGTGATTGCTACAAGTACGAGCGGAAGAAGAAGCCCGAGAGCAGCCGCCTACGAGGTCGCCGAAACAGCAACACCCTCGAAACGTCCTCCACATCAGCGAACAACGGGAACAACTGCAACAGCAACAACAGCAGCAAAAACAGCAGCAACAGCAACAGCAAGATGCTAAAGCCGCACAAGAGCCACATCAGCCGCCTCAAATACCACACCTGCTCGGACGAGTCCAGTGACGACGAGCTGATCACCTGCGGCCACAAGGAGAACACCTTCACGGGGGCGAATCCCAATCCAAAGTCATCGAAGCGCATCGACTTCATCCTCTACAAGCTGCGCGACAAGCTGACGAATGACTTCTTCGGCGACTGCTCCGCCGCCTTCACCACCACCTCAGCCGATCTGTGCTCTACTTTTTCTTCCTCTTCTTCGACTTCTGCGCCATCCTCGGCCAACTCCGCTGCCGCATCCGGCCCTCCCTCGCTCTCCTTTGCCTGTCGCCCTGATCCGCTGAAGATCACCGCAAAGGACATCAGCGGCCTGTCGTACAGCGACCACCAGCCGGTGGCCGCCCACCTCAAGCTGGTGAAGGTGGTCGAGCTGGAGGTGAACAACTCCTCAAGCTCTTCCAGTTCTTCTAGCTCCTCTTCCTCCTCTCTTAAGGAGGTCCTTTCTGCTGGTGGTGACGGGGGCAGCAGCAGCAGCAGCGGTAGTTCTCAGCTTAACCACAGCCACAGCCACGAAAGCGAACAAGTCGCCTCGAGTAAGCTCAACAAGTCCCACCACCACAACAATAACAACAACAGCCATCTTCACAATAAGAACAACAACAAGTCGAAGAGCGGTGGCCAGTGGACGTCGCTGGGCAAGCAGTCCCCCTCCCCCGTTTCCGCTTCCTCTTCTTCGAACAACCTCACTGGCCGGAAGCCCCTTAGTCCTCTTCTGCACGACATTGAGAAGCTCCTCTCTGACTTTATCAACGCCAGCAGCCTGGCGAAGCACGTGCTGCTGGTGGCGGTGGTGCTGGCGCTGGCGGCGGGCACCCTCTTCGCCGTCACCTTCGCCCTCTCGCTGACGGCCATCGAGGCGGTCCTCCTCGGCATCATCCTCCTCATCGTCTGTCTCTTTGCCTTCTTCCTCCGCTTTGTCACGCACCGCCACGAGGTGAACGCCGTGAAGGCCATCCTCAATGACATCACCAAGAAGAAGTCATTCGGCACGGAGTACGGCCTGCTANCGGCATCATCCTCCTCATCGTCTGTCTCTTTGCCTTCTTCCTCCGCTTTGTCACGCACCGCCACGAGGTGAACGCCGTGAAGGCGATTCTCAATGACATCACCAAGAAGAAGTCATTCGGCACGGAGTACGGCCTGCTAGGCAGCACCGCCGGTGACCACTGACTGGCGGTGACCACCGTTGAGCAGGTGTAGCTGTGTAGTGAGAGCTGAGTACAAAACAAAGCTACTGATATGATATGACCCTCCAGAGAAGCCCCGATGAACAATCCTCCCCAATTAGTTTATTCTTCTACCCCTTATGTTCTACCCCAATTTATTATTTATTAGGTGCTTTTTGCCTCACCTCTTCTATTTATTCTTGTTCTCGTTCGACGCTTTGCCTTCTTCTTCTTCTTCTTGATTGTTGTTATGATTTGTGTTATCGCCTTCTTCCCCTTTTTCCCCAATCGTTCGAGAACTCTTTATCACGCTTTTAGTTTTTAATTTTATAATCACCACCACCCCTTTATTTATTATTGATTGATAAGCTGATTATTTATTGCCAAGTGAGTTGGTCTGAATGATGATGATAATTCTCTTGAATGAACACTCCCTCAAATCTATTTATTTTTCTCCTCCTCCTCCTCTTTTCACCAGTTTTTATTTATTACAACAAACAAACAAACAAATAATAAAGTTTGAAACCAGCACACCAATCAGTCAGTCAGTCAGCCTGTTATTCGGTAATAATAATGCCTTTATTGATGATGATGTGTGGAGGGTCTGAGAGTGGTTAGCTTTGCTGTGGTTGTTATTGTTTAGAGTGGTAATACAAAAATAGAACAAACAAAATCTGGTAAGTGTGAAGTATCAGCAGCAGCAGAGTAATCCTGTGTGGTTGTGTGTGTGTGATAATCATGTTCAGTAATCAATGTCGGTAATCAGCAGTAGTAGTGGTAGTAGTACTGTGTGTGTAGCCCTGTGTTTCTGATGACGAGAGGTTGAGTAACTGGAAGAGAGAGAGAAAAAGGTGTAATAGAGCAGTAGAAAAGATAGAGAAATAGAAATCCAGGAAAAAAGAGAGATTTGTGTTCTGTGTTCTGTGATTTGTGGGCTCCAGCAACAGCGGCAGCAACAACAGCTGCTCCAGATGATGATGATCAGGAGACAGCAGCGAAACGAAGTTGCGGAGTTGTGGTGGGGAGTAATCGTCGTCGTCGTCGTCTTCGACTTGTTCATCTCAGTCAAGGTAGTAATAGTAGGGAAAATAGGTAATGAGGATAAAGAGAATAAAATTGTAGTGGTACTGGTGATAATAGAAAAGCGCAAAGAGCAGAGAAAGAGTAATAATAGTCGAGTAGTGGCAAAAATCGGGTAGCAAAAATACAACTCCAAAGTCTTAAGAGTAGAAGAGGAAAAAAGTGTGGGCGTGGCTGGTTGGGTGGGTGGTGGATGGTATGGGTAGTAGTAGTGGTGGTAGCAGTAGTGGTAGTACAAGACAGTAATAGGAATAGTGCTTCAAAAGAGTCAATCAATCAATCAATAATCAGAATGATAGCCAAAAAGTAGGAGGGAAAATTCAATCAGCAAAACGGAAGATGAGGTGGAGGAGTACAAATGAAGGGGCGGAAAAGGGAAGTGATAATGAGCAGGTTGTACGATCGGTTTTTAAGTGTTAGTAGGTGTTGTTGTTCCAAAACTACTACTAAGGAAATAAAAAGGTAGGGTTCTTGTGACCTTCAATGTTGGCGGCAACAGGTGGTCGCTGTTGTCGTTGATGATGATGATGCGAAGTGTGTGCAAGTGTGGTAGTGGTGAAAATACCAAAACGGATAAATATAACAAAGGGTAAAATGCAGCAAAAAGAGAAAGAGAAAGAGCAAAGTAGTAAAAAATAATACGAAGTGAGTAAGTGTGAGTGTGTGTGTGTGTGTTTTGAGATAACAACGAACAGAGAGAAAAAGAGGATAAATAAAATTGCACAAACAAGAAAACAAAACAAGGGAAAACGTTTGTGGGTGCCGGTGTGTGGTGTGGTGAAACTTAAAAATCAGAGGGAAAAGGGGAGGGGGTTGTACAATAAAGGTGGTACAAAAACGATGGAGAAGGAGAGATTACATAAAAAGTCAGTGTTTGGGTCAAGCTTTGTGTCGGTTGAAGAGAGAGAGAGAATCAAGATTTGGTTTGCTGGCGCGGTTCGGAGACTGCAGAAAAGAATGATTAGGATGATTTTGGTGGTGATGATCTAGTTCGTCGGTAAGAGCACTAAGCAGAAGGCCTGGTCACACACACACACACTTGTCAGATCAGTCAGAATTGGTGATGGTGATGAGGTGATGTGATGTGATTTGAGAGACGAGGGAGTAGCAAAAATAAAAAGTTAAAACAGACAGCGTTCAAGAGTTGGAGAGAGGGGGGAAAACAACGGGAAAGAATTTAGAGGGAGGAGAAGATGTGTTCTGTCCCAAAACGAAACGGTGTTGCTGAGAACTGGTAAACTCAAAAGCGGTAAACGAGAAAAGCAAAAAGTAACGAAAGTTAATGGAGGGTTGTACTGGAGGGTACTGGAGCAATGTGCAGCAGCAGCAGAAGTTGATTTTTGAGGATCATCATCAAGCTGAGTGTCTGCAGTTGTTTTCGGTCAGATTTCCGGTGGTGGTGGAAGTGGTGAGATGCTCCAAAGGTTAGTCACAAACAACGGGTGGACGAGTGGTGTGGAAAATCATAATAGTAATAATGTGGATAACCAATAATCAATAATAAATGTAATAATAACCAATAAGTCAATAATAAAAAAGAGATAGGAAAAAAGGTGAGAGAGATAAAGAGAGAGAGAGAGAGTTATCACTAGGCGAAATGACAATGGTAAGTGGGTGCTGTTTGTTTGTAGGTTGGTTGGTTTTTAGTGCAATCGAGAGAATTCGTAGTTGATCTTGTTCGTCTTGTAGAAGAGGAGTAGGAGGGTAGGTTGAAGTAGTACTTGGGACAGAGAGAGTAAGAAGAATAGCAATAATAAATAGAGCAACAAAAGGGAGGAAGGGGGGAAGGGAGGATTATAGGTAAATAAAAACGGGCTAACAGACGAGAGAATGAGAGGGAGAGTGAATGAATGAATATGGGAAAAATATGACAAAGATCTGAGTAGAGAGGGCAAATACACACTCATCAAAACTAAAAGATAAAAAAGAATACAGCTTCGAAAGGGGGGGAAGAGGGAAACCGAACACTGTGCTTGAGAGAGAAAGACCAATCAGAGGGTAATAATAATAATAATAAAAAAAATAGAAACGAGAACGATGAGAAGGGGGAGGGTGGGTGGGAAGTAGGAGGAGTTAGGGTCAAAAGTAAAAGGGCCGAAAGTGGTCGAGAAGGAAAAAAATGGAAAATCAATGTAGCAAAGAATTGATAGTTAGTTAGTTAGAGGTAAAATTAAAAAAGAGGGGTGGGTCTAGTGGTGAAGATAAAAACACGCCCCCCCCCTCTCACCCTCTTCAGCAGATCCCGCTGGTGGCGACGGCGGTGGCGAGGGACTGCAGCTGCAGGTAGCGGTAGATGTAGATGCGGTAGTCCTTGCTGGCGAGCACCACCGAGTTGTCGTCCATGAGGGCGACGTCGAAGCACTGCGAGTGCTTCACCTTCGACTCCAGCGCATTCACCAGCGCCCCCTCCTGCGTGAAGATGGTAATGTTGAAGTTGTTGTGGTTGTCCGCCACCAGGATCTCCCCGTTGTCGTTGATGCACACGCCGATGGGGTAGTTGGTCAGGCCCTCGCCGCCGATGTTCCGCAGAAAGACGCCCCCGTAGCTGAAGACCTTGACGCAGTGGGCGCGATTGTCGCTGATGAAGATCTCCTGCTTGTCGTTGACCACCACGCCGTTGGGGAACTCCAGGTGCTTGCTGCAGCCGAACTTGTGGAAGACGTTGCCCGCCAGGTCGAAGATGATGACGCGCATCACCTTGCACTCGACGATGATGATGTTGCCCTTGTGGTCGACGGTGACGCCGCGCGGGTGCTGCAGAATGTCGGCGCCGAACTTCCGTACGAACTGCCCGTACTGGTTGTACACCTGAATCTGGTGCGTGGGCGAGCGCTCGGTGACGATAATGTCGCCCGACTGCTTGACCACCGCCACCCGGTTCGGGTAGAGCAGCTGGCCGTCACGCTTGCCGCACTCGCCGAACTGAAACTTGAAGCGGCCGTCCTTGTCGAAGATCTGAATGCGGTGGTTGTTCGTGTCGGCGACGATGATGTCGTTCTGGGCGTTGACGGCGACGCCGGAGGGCTCGGTGAACTGGCCCTCCATGATGCCGAACTCGCCGAACTTGCAGTGGTAGATCATCTTCTGGCGCTGCACCTGCGACTTGATGGGCATCACCGTGCCGCTGGAGTTGCTGGTCGGCGTGCCGCCGCCCCCGCCGCCTCCCATTGAGACGTTCGAGAGGGCGTCAGAGAGGCTGGTGGCGCTGGGGGCGTTGCCGAGGCCGCTGCCAATGTGACCGTGAGAGTTGAGATGGGCGCCGCTGTTGAGATCGAGCATTGGGTCGGCGGCGAGGCCGTCGAGGCCATCCGGGCCGACTGCGTTCGACCAGTGCGTGAAGAGGGCAGAGTCGGGCGAGGAGTTGGAGTTGCCGCGACTGTGCTGGTGTTGGTGGTGGTGATGGTTGCCACCTCCTCCTCCTCCTCCTCCTCCGAGGCCATGGCCATTGACCATGCCATTGCCGCCCTGCGACCACTTGTCGTAGCCGCTGCCAAAGAGATTCAGCGACTCGGAGACCGAAGAGTTGAGCGAGCGGTTATTGTTGTTGTTGCTGTGGTGGTTGTGGTGATTGTGATTGTTGTTTGAAGACTGGTTGTGGTGGCTGCCGTGGTGATTTGATGACGGCTGCTGCTGGTGATGGAGGCCATTACCATTACCGGCGCCGTTGCTCATCGACATTTGGTTGAAGCGGCTGCTGAGCGATTCAGAGTGGTCGGCAAAGCCGTTGCTGCTGAGACTGCTGCCGCCGCTGCTGAAGCCGCTGGAGCCAGTGCGGCCAATCGCCTGCTTGCCACTGCCGTTGTTGTTGCCTCCTGCTGGCCCTTGTTGACCACCACCACCGCCGCCATTGTTGCTGCCATTGGGCGAGGAGCGAATGGAGCCAAAGTTGCTCTGGACGAGCGCCTGCACCAGGTGGTAGTTGAGGACAAACTCCAGCTCGTGCGAGTGGACGCTCGAGTCGAGATCAATGTTGAGAATCGCCTGCAGCTTGTTGTCGATGAAGGACTTGCAGCTGTACATGTCGGCGTTGATGTTCGGCGAGGCGGAGCCGTCTGAGGCTGCGGCCGCCGCCGCCGCGTTCTGCTGCTGCTGCTCCATGTAGAGGAGAATCTGCTCGATCTTGTGCAGGTTCTCCTCGATCTTCGAGGTGAAGATGGTGAGGGAGACGATGCGGGCGTTGTAGACGTCGTCCAGCTCCTTCATCAGGTCGTTGCGGCCCTTCTCCACGGCGGCCTGCAGCGTCTGGTAGGAGCGGCCGACGTCGCCCTGCGCCTTGCCGTACTGCGCCTGCAGGCGGCCGGTCAGCTCCTCGAGGTTCTTCTGCTTCACCAGCAGGCGGCTGCGGCACTCGTGGAAGATCCGACCGAGGTGGCCCACGTCGGTGAAGGACTGGGACTGGGCGGACTGGGGCGGACTGCCGCTGTTGCTGCCGTTGCCACCACCACCACCACCGCCTCCTCCACTGCCGAGGCCATTGACTGAGGAGGAGGAGTTTGAGGAGAGGAGATTGTTGTTGATGTTGTTGTTGTTGTTGGGCGTNTCCACTGCCGAGGCCATTGACTGAGGAGGAGGAGTTTGAGGAGAGGAGATTGTTGTTGATGTTGTTGTTGTTGGGCGCTTGCGATTGTTGGTGCTGGCCGACAAGCTGGACGTCGCAGCCGTTGGTGAGCGAGGACACCGAGAAGAGGGAGTGCTCGTCGCTGGACGGCGACACTGAGACGGCCGAAGCCGAACTGGACATCTTGGGAAGATGGCGATGAGGAGGAGGAGGTGGTTGCCAATCGGCGATGAGGGTGAGGGGGATGAGGGGGCGACGGTGAGGGGTGACAGGGAGGGTGACGGCGAGGGTGATGACAACAACTTCTGAAGACGACTAGGCCGTGTGGGGGCTGGTGCCTTTATACCCAACGCATGAGAGAGGAGGAGCAGGAGGCCTGAGCGACGACACCTGACAATGACCAAGGTTGGCGTCGCAGCCTGTGTCAACGGGCGACGATGACAATGACAGTGGTCAATGATAATGAGCCAAAGTCTGACTGATGGTCGAAGACTGATAATGGCAGGCAGCGAAGATCACTGCGAAGATGTTGATAAGAGACGAGAGGCGACGAGGATGTGACAGTGGTGGCGGCGCGGTTGCCACCTAAAACACAAACACAGAGAGAAAGACTAAGAAACAGCCAACTTTGGCCTGATGATGAGATGATGACACTGAAAAGGAGCCGAAGCGGCAGCAGCAGCAGCCAAACAAAGGAAAGCTGATCACGAAGAAGTGAAGGGAAGGAAAGAAAGAAAGAAGAAAGACACTGACTGCTCTGAAAGCTGGAACGGTTCAAACTGACGACTCTCAGAGTGTGTGTGAGTGTGTGATGGGCAGACAAAGGCAGTGTGCTTTGTGTGTGCTTGCTTGCCTGCCGCAACAGCACCGCCGCCGCTGCAGACAGTCGTAGAAGAGAGAGAGAGCGCAGGGAAAGCAATACGCGCGCGTTCAGTGATCTCAGCTCCCTCGTTTGCTAGCAGCAGCAGCAGGGTAGGGTGCAGCAACGTTCTCCTCAACGACAACGTCGCTGACGGTGGTGGTGGTGGTACAGTGGACGGCGGCGGCGCCCACCTTTCCCTCTGCTCCTCGCTCTTTGTTTGCGCCAGCAGTGGTGGTGGTGGCAGCAGCGCGCGGCAGCCATGAGATCGGTCGTCGGCCTGACTGTTCTTGCTCGTTTGCTGCTGCTGCTGTCTGCTACTTCTTCTTCTTCTTCAGTACGCTTCTGTGTGCTGGTGAAGAGCTGGTCGGTCTTCTGATGCGGAGAACGCTGATGACGGCGAGGATCCCCTCCCCAGAGTGCGCCTGTTGGTGGTGGTGGTGGGCCAGTCCATTCACTTCGGCAAGAGCACCGTCGCCATCGCTCCTGCTGCTCCTGCTCCTGCTGCTGTTGTTCTTTTTCTTTTTCTCTCTCCACTTTTCGAGGTTGCCTCGTCGACTTTTTTCGGTGGCGGCGGTGGTGTGTCAGGCCAGCCGGGATTCATCCGCGGGCAGAGAAAGGAAAGAAGGAAAGGGAGAAAATGAACGAGCGAATGACTGAATCAGCCAGTCTGTTCCACCAGTTTTTCTCTCTCTCTCTCTCTCTCTCTCCGATTCTAACATAGACCCTTTCATCTGCGGATTCACGGTCACCGCCAGGCGCACGTTGTGGTAAGCGCCAATCACGATATTTGTTGACGGACGGACGGACATTTCGAAATTCTGGTCAAGTTCGAAATTGTCTTCAATTTTCAACCAATTGACCCTCAAAAATGAAAAATGACAGCAGCCAAGAAGCTCCCGTACAAGGTCAGCTGTCTCGAGGAGGACGTCGCCACAGCAGCAGCAGCAGCAGCAGCCGCCATGATCATGATCGTTACCACGACTGGCCACCAAGGACGCACTGAATGGAAAAGAGCAAATTACTGCTGCTGCCGCTCCGATCACGGTGCAATCGTCGGTGCAACCCCATTTCAATAAAAGAAAATGCCCGTTCCAAAAGCCGTTCCAAAAGCGAGCGGCGGCGGTTTTCCCCACCGAACTCAGCAGCAGTACCCTCCTCCCCATCGGAGCCCTCCTCAGTGCGCTGAACCCATAGCAGCAGCACTGGTGATTCTACGCTGGCCTTCGACACTAACTCACTCGCTTCCACTCTCATTCGACGTTCTCCTCTCGCTCTCACTCACTGGGGGGAACTACCCCGAACGGCAGCAAAGAACCGGCGGTGGTGGTGGTGGTGGAGCTGCGACGGCGACTGCTGTCGTTGAATTTCACTGCCACCGCCACCACGGGTAATAATCGAAAGGACATTGAATCTCGCGGCCATTGTGCCTGAGCGACTACGACGGCAGCATCTGCTCCTCAACATAAGCGGCGGCCGATGTTGGCAGCAGCCCAGCCGGCTCCATCTACCGACGCCACTGAGCTACTGCTGCCGCCGCCGCCGCCGCCGCCGCCGCTTCATCAGCAGCACCAGAAATAGACAAAAGATGTGATCTTCTATCCGGTCGCTAGAATTCGGGAGATCTCAATATAAAAAAATTTACGAAATTTTAGAACAAAAATCTTACAAACTTTCAATTTCGAACTCCAGTTTTTCACCTTTTATTACCTGGTTCGCTTCATTCTGCTGCTGCTGCCGAACCAGTAACCAGTAACGCCCCCTAGTGTCGGATAGTTCGCAACAGCAGCAGAGATTGGCAGGCAGCATGAGCCAGTACGGCGGTGGAGGTAATGCGGGGAAAGAAGAAGAAGAAGAAAAAGAAGCAGGCAGGCAGGCAAAAAAAATCCAGGCTGCTCTCGCACTCTCTATCTCTCCTCTTTCTGTGTTCTCAGTGGCTGCTGCTGCTGTCCTGGCCTGGTCTGCTGCTGCTGCTGTTTCTAATTTCTGCTGCACTCTCGGTCTCTCTCTCTCTCTCCGGTGGTGTGTGAAGTGAATCCCTCGTCTTTTACTATTTCTCTTCTACTTCATCTTCTCAGATCTTTTGATGTGATCTCACCCTCCTCCTCCTCCTATTCTACCCTATCCTATCCTATTTTATCCCTCCCTCCCTCCTTCCCTCCCCCCCTTCATCTTTTGTAACCTTCCACCACCAACACATCACCTGTACTTATTCTTTCTGTTCTTTTCTCCGACTTTTACTCTTCTTCTTCTTCTTCTACGTCTACTTCTACTGCAACTCACACACAACACACACACACACCAGCGATCATCAACTCCAAACACACAGACAGAAACTGCAACCCCTTCTTCTTCTATTATACTACTCTCTTCCTCACTCACTATTGCTGCAACCGACTGTGAATTCTACTTGCGATAAACACCACCACCACCACCACCACAACCACAATTCTTATTACCCACTTTTTGTATACCTTTTAATCATGTCGAACCATTATGATGTAAGTTTTCCTTGATGATGCGGCGACGACGGCCTCTTCTCCCGTCTCTTCACCTCGCTAACCTTGTTTATTTATTTATACTCTCTTTCTTCTTCTTTTCCTTTCCCCCCTTCCCCGTGACTAGAACTTCCAAATGCCAAACACTCTTAACCACCAGCACCACAGCCACTACAACAACCACAACGACAACAGTACATTCTCACTAAATGATCATTCAGACTCCTCCTTTACTCCTAATCACTCAAGTCTCTTCTCAAACTCAAATGACATTATCAATGCCAATCCAAACAATTCCAGCTCCTCGTCGGGTGTCGTCAAGGAGACGGGAATCATCGAAAAGATGGTAAGTGACTGCCGCTGAAAAGATGCTCTACCTCATTTCTCATCCTCCTTTCTGTCCTTCACCGCCATCAGCTCGTATCTTATGGATTCATCCAATGCTGCGAAAGACAAGCACGATTATTTTTTCACTTTAGGTAAATAACATACACAGCGAGAGACAAAACACACAGACACAGACACCGAGTTCTACATCTACCCTGCTGACACGTAACGTCAGTTGTTTCCTTCTCTCATTTGCTAATCTATCCTTTCTCTTCCTCCTCGATCTATCCACCACCACGCCGATTCTTTCATCATCGCGACTGTCACCATCACCAACCACTAAAATCACTGCAGCCAATACCTAGGCAACACCGACCACCTCAAGATCGGCGACCCGGTGGAGTACGAGATGTCCTACGACCGACGCACGGGCAAGCCCGTGGCCATCAACATTCGGAAGATCACCAGCGACGACTTCATGACGAAGCTCATTCGCACGGAGCGCGTCTCGGGGGTGATCGCCACCGAGCCGGCGACCAGTCGCGGCGAGGGCCGCGTCGCCTTCGAGAACGGCGGCGAGTTCTTCTTCCTCCCCTTCACCCAGGAGGACATCCTGGAGAATGTGACGCTGAAGGCGAAGGACAAGGTGAGCTTCATCATCGTCACCGACGACAGCGGCAACTACCGCGCCAAGGACATCAACCTGGAGCTGGCGGGAGCAGGCGGTGGCGGAAGCGGCGGCACCGGCAGCGTGGGCAGCGGCGGCGACGGCGGCCGCCCCAACTCCGCCTCAGGCATCCGCTGCCAGGGCACCATCAGCTCGATCAAGGACACCTTTGGCTTCATCGAGCGGGCGGACACCTCGGCCAATATCTTCTTCCACTCCTCGGACTGCGCCAACTTCAAGGCGCTGAACGTCGGCGAGAACGTCGAGTTTGTGGTCACCTCGCGCAAGAGCAAGGAGCTGGCGAGCAGCGTCACCAAGGTGGCCTTCAACTCGGTGGAGGAGGTCTCCGAGACGGTCTACAAGGGGCAGATTGTCAAGTACACGCCGCGCCCCTTCAACATCAGCGCCTCCGCCAGCCTGGGCGCCAACTCGGGGAAGATGTAAGTGGGCTGCTGCTGCTGCTTTTATATTGTTAAACTCGTATTATTAAATCCTTACTCCTGCTACAGCAACTGCATCGAGCTGAACAAGGAGCTGCCCTTTACCGACAAGGACGTGAAGGGCTTCTTCACGCTGGCCAACTACGACCTGGTGTCCTTTCAGATCTGCACCGACCGGCGCAATGGCGCCCAGCGCGCCTGCAACATCACCTTCATGCCGGAGTCCTTTACGCTCAACTCCGAGGTGCGAGAGCGCGGCTACGTCGCCAGCTTGAAGGTAAGATGAGAAGGTGATTGAAAATGCTTTGACTATCTTGCTAACTTCTCCCACTTTTACCCAGGAAACCTACGGCTTCATCAAGTGCCCCAGCAAGGAGGGCTCCCTTATTTACTTCAAGCTGACGGAGGTGATTGACTACGCCAATCCGCTGAAGCTGAACGACGAGGTGGAGTTCACCTACAACACCGACCCGCAGACGCGCAAGTTCCAGGCGAATCGCATCTCCACGCTGCCCAACGGCACGCTCTTTAACATTCTGCCGCGAGGAGCCAACAGCAACAACAATAACAGCAGCAAGTCAGGCAACAGCAGCAGCAGCAGTAATAACGGGAGCAACCTGGAGAACAACAACTTTCCGCTGATTGACCTGAGCAGCGACCTGGACTCGCAGATGGTGATCGGCAGCGGCAACAACAAGAACCGAGGCGGCGGCCTCGCCAATGGAAACGCNCAAGTCAGGCAACAGCAGCAGCAGCAGTAATAACGGGAGCAACCTGGAGAACAACAACTTTCCGCTGATTGACCTGAGCAGCGACCTGGACTCGCAGATGGTGATCGGCAGCGGCAACAACAAGAGCCGAGGCGGCGGCCTCGCCAATGGAAACGCCGCCACCGCCGCTGCCGACGTCTGGCAGCAGCTGCAGGAGAACAATGCCAACAATAAGGTGCCAATGCAGCTGGAGACGCTGGTGGCGTCCGCTTCAAGTGGTCACCACCACCACCACCACCACAACTACGGCCACCACTCGCCCTCGAACGCTGCGCGAAACCACGACGCCTTTGGTGGAGGTGGTGGTGGTAACAGCGATCTCTACCACCCGCAGAACAGCTCCTCCATCTTCAGCCTCAACGGAAGTGGTGGTGGTGGTGGTCACAACAGTGGTCAAAGCGAAGGCAGTGGCCTTGCCTCTGCTCAGCAGTCCAACGGCGAGTACTACTCCGGCAGCCGCGCCGTCGGCTTCGTGGTGGCCGTCAAGGAGTCCTACTGCTTCATCGAGTCACTGGACGGCGAGAATGAGTACTTTGGCCACCAGTCGAGCTACCTCGACCCGGAGCTGCTGGACCAGCACCCGCTGGAGATGGGCCAGACGGTGGAGTTCACCGCCGCCTACGTGAACGGCAAGTGGAAGGCGACGGAGATTCGCCGCACGCGGGGCGCCCCGGTGGCGATGTACGAGGGCGAGCTGTCCGACCTCTGCACGGGCATCGTCCTCCGCACCATTCAGATGTTCAACGGTGACCAGGCGGAGTACTGCGGCCTGGTCGCCCGCACCGATCAGCTGCAGACGCTGGAGATTGACCTGGCGGAGGCGGAGCGGAGCATCGAGGAGCGCTACGAGTTCAGCATGACCAGCTTCAAGTTCCTCAAGGACTACATTGCCGTCGGGGATATGGTGAAGTTTCAGGTGGGCACGGCGCCGGGCACCGGCAAGCGACGGGCGTACAATGTCGAGGTGCTCAGGGAGCGCATCAAGGTCAGTAGAACTGCTATTGTTTTCCATTTGCTTTATTCTAACCTTCTTCTTCTTTTTCACCTNGAGCGCATCAAGGTCAGTAGAACTGCTATTGTTTTCCATTTGCTTTATTCTAACCTTCTTCTTCTTCTTCTTTTTCACCTCCCTCTCAGGGCTCCATCTACGTGATGAGCCGCATGTACGGCTTCGTGAAGGCGGACATTGAGAATGAGAGCCGCAAGGTGTACTTTAACCGCGGCGAGGTGGTCGGCTCGCCGCGCCTCAAGGTGGGCGACCTGGTCGACTTCTACCTGGTGGACAACAAAAAGTCGGACAAGTGCTACGCCATTGACATTGTCAAGTTGGAGTCGGCGCCCGGCGACGGCTCGGCTGCTGGCGGCGGCGGCGGCGGTTCTGCTGGCGCTGGGCCTGACGGCGATGGCGCCGTCTCCGTGCCCCGCTTCAAGAACCTGCAGATGGCGAAGGACAAGGCCGAGTCGGGGCCGAAGGTGGTGGTCATTCGACAGCCTCGGGCGCCCGACGGCACCAAGGGCTTCAGTGCGCACTTGAGGAACTCAGCTGCTGCTGCCGATGATGATACCGAATCGACCAGTCCGGACACTGCGGAGAATGGCGGAACTGTTGGCCAGTGATGATCACGAAACCTGTTGTTCTTTTGTGCATTTTTCTCCTCCTTTTCTCTGCCACAATCACCCACAACCCACAGCAAACGGAACGTTCCGTCCAAGTTAACCCTCTCTCTCTCTCTCTCTCACTCTCAAACTCGCGACCTACCGCTTCAATCCATTGATCTACTCCTTCAATCACAGTTACTACTACTGCTTCATCGTCATCATCGCCACCAAGCAACACCACTTTTGCATCAAGCACTACCATCACCACCACCACCCTCCCGAACCGACCTGAATCTATCGATGTGCCTTGCCTACCAATGCTTACTCTCTACCCTCTCTTGCTCTCACAATTCAACTTTTGTCTTCAACCTTATCATCTTTCCCTCTCTCTACTTCATCCCTTTTGCTTCTCTCTGCCACAACCGCAACCCTTAGTACAAAAGCAAACCTACCTACCTACCTACC